AGTAAGCTTGCTGCGGATATTAGTAAGCATGCTGCGGCGCAGCAGGCGCTTAGTAAGCCTGTGATCTGATTGGATGGAGTGGTATTGGCCAAATTAGCATAAAAGGAGGGCATATGAGCCCTTCGAAGTAATCAATTCACTTTCACCCAGAATCAAAGATCGATCACAGGAGACTGTAGATCAGTCTCTATTAGTATTAAGCAGCAAGAGCAAGATTAAGAAGACATTTGAGTGTTGACTTAGGCAATAGATCTAAGTATCACTCCAGGACATACGATATAGGAAATAGGATACGTTAAAGCGACAAGACGCTTTTGAGTGTTGACTTAGGCAATAGATCTAAGTATCACTCCAGGACATACGACATAGGAATTAGGAAGATATTTGAGTGTTGACTTAGGCAATAGATCTAAGTATCACTCCAGGACATACGACATAGGAATTAGGATACGCCGAGGCGACAAGACGCTTCCAGAAGATAGGAAATAGGATACATTGAAGCGACAAGACGCTTCCAGAAGATCGACGACATACTCAGTAACTTCCCTATAAGCGTGGGAACAGATTTCCAGTACAGACAAAAGGACAGAGTATAGTTCTCTGTTTAAGTAAATACATTCAAGCGGCCCATTTCTTTCTCCTGATTCAACTAGGTCATCCCCGACTTAGATAGACCGGGACCCTAGGCAACTGTGAGACTATATACTAGCACTACAGTTCGCGCGACATCGCGTGGCGTTATAGTCGATAACATTCCCCTCGTGGTCGGTGGCGATGAGGTCCCAGTACCTGTCGGCTTCGGGGTCGTTGGGCCTGACTCCTTCCCAGGGCGCATGGATGTACGCCGGGAACTTTTCATCCCAGTTGACGTTGGGGTATGGTTCGGGCTTGGGCCAGTTGTCGGCGTCGAGCTTCTTTACCGCGTCGTCGCTGTAGGTCACATAGGTGACACCGGCGACCTTCTGCGTCGTCGCGCCGTACTTCTTCGCCTCTTCTTCGTCGCGGAATGGCGACCAACCGAGCGGTGCTGCATATGTCTCGGTCATTCGTCCCTCTTCTGCTTTTTCTATCGACTCACTGCACGTGTCCCATGGCATCGGTTCATTGGCGGATGCGGGCCATCCGGACTCGGATGCGGGGAATGGCTTGTCGTCGTGCCCGTCGTTCGCTCTCGTTGAGCTGACCTCGTCGCGGTCTTTGCGACGGGGCACCTGCTTCCCTTTCTTCTTCTTCTGCGCTATGGACCATCCGTCGCCTTCATCAGTGTCGGATGTCAGCGTTGGTGTCGTCGCTGGGGTGTTGTAAACTGTCTCACCCTCTTCTTCGGTCTTGACCTCGGTCTTGTCCTTGTCGGTAACCTCGACGATCCGATCGATTTGCATCGTTTTCATCTCGTCGATGTCGTTCTGTATCTGCTTCTTCGCCTGGTCCCAGGCTGTTCCTCGCCAGTCGACCATAATGTCGAGGGCGGCTTGTCCGTGTGCGATCGCGTCGTCAAGTCGGCCCTCCTGCTTCGCTATGGTGTAGCGGTTCAAGAGGGTGGTGATGGAGTCTCTGTATATTGCCCAGACCGTATCGATTAGTTTTTGCGCTTCATCGGTACGGACAGAGAACTCTCGGAGTACTGACACGGTCATGTTGCCAGTCTCGTTCGTGGTTGGGGTGGTTGCCGGCATCTTGGATGTCGAGTGAGTGGTGAGTGAGGAGTAAAAGTTTGGTGTGTGCTTGGGGTGTGGGGGTCAGAACGCTCTAGTCGTTGAAAATTTCGAGTTGTTCTACCCCCCTTTTATGCTCCTCAGACATCCTTGTCTGACTCATTCGTTATCTTCTTGTCATGCCTGACAGTCATCGGCCCGTTCGTTTCTTCGAGTCATGTCACTATTTTCGTCGTCGTTTCTCGGCTTGACAGTACAGTGCCATAAGCCGAAGTGCTTCTTGAGGCGGTCCAACTGCGCTTTTGTTGTTGCTGTGAAATTCCTTGACCAGTTCCATAGCATGTCCCATGCGCGATAAGGGTATCCATTCATTCTCTGAGTCAGGATAGCCCTTCCATTTCACGCAGTACGCATAGCCTCTTCCTTGGCGTCTTGATTTGGTGATCGTTTCTATCTCATATTCTTCTTGTCCGTCTATGAGATCCGGTGGCGGTTTCTGGTGTGACTCGCCGTATTCTTTCGTCCGCGTGTACGGTGTTAGAAGCGATGCATGAAACACAGGATGTATCTTCCATGTCCTGGGTAGTTTCAGCTTGAATGCACCGGTTCCTACTTCGTCTTCTATCTTGAACGGCCCGAATCGCTTTGGTGCCAGCTTGGCTG